CCACATCTTGCGCCAGAAATGCCCCCCCCCCCCCCGCACGGCTGCATGCATTCCGTTTGAAGGGCCCCATGACGTCTCTCTCCGCGTTCTCTTTCGTGCTCAGTACTTGTAGTCATCGGAGACATTGGTTTGGACAAAAATCAGGGCGCTGCTTCAGTTCGCGAGCGACGTGCGCGACCGGCACGGAGGAGGAGCGCCTTCGCGGCGCAGAACTTGTCGTTGCACTTGGCGCCCGTGCTGAGCACCATGTTTCAAACGCACTGGCCCTCCTCGGCCGTCTCTTCCTCCGCCCCAGGGACCTCTGGAGCCTCGGGGTGGTGCTCTGGAGGGGCGAGCGACTTTCAGTAGGCTGCAGCTCTCAGGACAGCGGAGTCCAAGAAGGCCCAGCCCCTGCACTCCTGGATGTATAGCAGCCACAGAAAGGGTTAGCCCGAGGGAGCCAACTCGCGGAAGTCCTCACAGCGCCCATGTGAGTGCCTGAGGCCCTCCAGAAGCTGCCGAGTCCAGGGGTTGGCCTCCGGGGGGAGGTTCCAATCTTCGTCGGTCACGTCGCAGCTGCTCATGGCCCTCAAAATGCACGCCCTAACTTGGCGATGGGCCCCTGGCAGGCGTGCCCAACTCTGCAGCCATCCAAGACGGCGAGTTCCGAGCTCCTCCGAAGCGGACAATATTTGCCAGCAGTCCAAGACATTTCCGAATCGCCATCGTCGAATCTCGCCGCCCCCGCCCTTGGCGGCCCCCTGGAAGCCCAGCCCCCTGCGCAGATCGCCTGCATCAGAACGCGATCCGCATGCTCGCAGAAGGAAGAGTCGAGCGCGCGGGCTCCCATGCCCGAGAGGAGGGCCTACTGGGCGAACCGCGTGATCGCCATTCCCTTGATGGCTCTGGCCGCGGGCTTGACCGGGAAACGCGAAACGAGCCCCAGACCGCTTCCCCACCTGGATTCGCTTTGTCATTTCCACGGCCAGGGGCCCCGTCGATGTGAGCCAGCCTCCCAAGATTCTGATGTGGCGCCCCCAAATGCCTGATGCGTTGAGGGGTCCACTTCGCCGTGGCCTGCGCTGCGCTGCGCAACCCCTGCCGAAGATCCGATCGAGCGCGACCCTCCTTTCGGGGCTCAGAGAGACGCCCATCGCCAGAAGAGCCCCCCGAAAGATGTGACTGCTAGACTCCGCCAGCGCCGCCAGGGGCGCCGCCTCCCTGCCGTTGGCGCGCGGCTCAGGCCCCCGCCCTGGCGTCGCCGACGTCGCGACATCGCCGGCGAAAGTCGCCACCCCGACATCGCTCGCATTACCATCAACCTCGATCGCCACGGCGCATAGTCTCGAAGCCGCCCTTCATCAGCAGTCGCGAAATTGAGCGAGACCTAACTCGTCAAAGTATGAGAAGGCCCGAGCTGGATTAGGGTGGCCCATCACTTCGCCTGTCGAAGGGCGAAGGGTGATAGCTCCTGTCGGCAATTCAATATGCAACGCCCCCTGCGCCGCGCGAAGACGTTGAAGGACGACATCTTCAGGGAGAAACAGAGAAGGGAGGGCATCGAGGATCGCGTTTCTGTCTGCGCTCGCGAACGCGCACGAACAATCCCCATTTACGATGGCGCGAAATAGGCACTGCTGCTCGAGGCGCCACGATGCGCACGCTTGAACCGCCATCGAGTCTTCTCGACGGCGCCTGAGAGCGAAGCCGTGACAGTGACAAGGTAGACTCTCGCGTACACGCCGACCTCGACGCCGCAGGTAGGAACGCCAGGTTTTGCCCATCGGGCAGGACAAGTGCATCCACCCCTGGCCCGCCGCCCCCAGCTTGCCGCCCCCCTTGTCCAGGCCAGTGCACGACGAGATGTCAAAGAGGAGCGGCGACTGGCGAGAACGCCTGAAGAACGCGACGATGTCCACCATCCGCTCGAGGAAGGCCGTCGCCGTCGACGCTGGCTCGCGCCCACGCCCGCACTCAGGATGGTGCCCCAGACCCCGTCGCCCAGCAGAAGTAGCCAGAGCTCAGACGGCATCGACCAGCGTGATCGCGCTCGGCACTTCGGCGAGGATCGCAACACCTCTAGCATGCCCTGCAAGTCCTCCTGGGCCTGCTCGATGTTGACAAGCTTCATTGCATCGTGCCTCACCTGATCCGAGCTGGAAAATTGGTCCTCTTCGTCGTAGATGCGCGCCCGATCGAATATTTTCTGTAGCTCCGCCTGCAGGTCGCACGGCACTCCACTCATGCCCCCGTCTGCCGCCGCCTGCTGAAGGAAAGTGCTGATCTGGTCCGCGTCGCACTGCTCAAATGTTGTCACGAAATAGCGCCGCTGCCGTGGTCCACGCCCGCGTCGAGCGAGCCTACGAATGAGACGCTGTGCTGTGTTTTGACCGTGAGCTGACCAGGCCTCGCTCAATTCCTGTTCCAAATCAGCCGCACTCCCCTTCGCAATCTGTTTAGCCGTGAAGCGGATGCGGAAGGTCAGCCTGGCCAACTCCAGCTTAATTTCCTGCCAAGTCTCCGGGAGTTGTTCCCGTGTGCGCGCCCTTCAGAAGCCTTCTCCGATCTAATAACATAGAGCGTTGCTCTTCCAACTCCGTTTTCAAGCTTTCTGCCGGCGCAGGCTTGCAGAAAACCTCACGTGCTCTGTTGACCAAGAATGTCGCCGTCGAATTCTAGAGCTCGTCGGTCGTCGGTCTCGAATACAGTATGACCCATTTGGGCTCCTCTATCGGCAGCAGCTCCGCTTGGATCTCCTCGAACTGTGCCACGCAAGTCTCCCCGCGCCGCGCCGACGCCATGATGCAATCGAAATCCCAACCAGGTGCACTCCACATCCGGTCCTGGAAGCAGTAGGCAAACTCCTCGTACACGGGCCTGTGGTCGCGGTCGTCGAGGGTCTGGAGCGGCTGCAACCTGCGCGCAGGGGCCCCAAGACCCGACATTTAGCGACGTGCGCCATCAGCCCCCGTGGTATGTGGACAAAATCAATCCTCGAGCTCTTGCCCATGTTGCCGTAGTAGGTGGGACCAGCCTCGGAGAAAAGCGTTGCACGCCGCCATGTCGCAGTGCTTGAGCATCTGATGCCATAGTTTGCCCGCCAGTCCCTCCGCGAAGGGCTCGAAAGTGTTCACGGCTCTGTCCTCGTCCTCTTCCTCCCAGTAGTGCAGCGCCGCCTCGTCTATCGCCATCTTCGGTGAGGTCCCCAGTCCGTCGTTCAAGCCGCATCCTATCACTGGGGTGCAGCGGGCGCCGACCGACGCGATCGTCGAGCGTGTCCAAGCGATCAGGGACTGGACGACCCGTCGATACTCCGCCCCCTGACCTCGTCCTTGTGGCTGACACGGGAAGTAGAGAACCACAAACAAGACATCGAGCGTCGCGGTCTTCACGCGGATTGCGACAGCGCGACCAGCGAGCGCAGGCGGTGGCACGCATAGTCGACGTAGGCACCGTGGCGGGAAAACTTGGTTGCGCAGCATGATCGACACCCCGCACGCCTTGTAGCTCGCACGTACCCAGCCTAACGCCATCTCCCAGTGCTTCACATGCCGATAGAGCTGGTGGTCGTTTTCTCCTTTTCCGCCGACAGGTCCCTGGCAGTAGAATGGCCCCCACGTTGTGAAATTCTTGGGATATGTCGTTGCATCGCATCGGGCCGACGAGTTGCATCGGATTGTATGTGCATGCCCTGATGTGTGTGTGTGTGTGTGTGCGTGCGTGCGTGCGTGCGTGCGTGCGTGCGTGCGTGCGTGCGTGCGTGCGTGCGTGCGTGCGTGCGTGCGTGCGTGCGTGCGTGCGTGCGTGCGTGCGTGCGTGCGTGCGTGTGTGCGTGCGTGTGTGCGTGTGTGTGTGTGTGTGTGTGTGTGTGTGTTGTGTGTGTGTGTGTGTGTGTGTGTGTGTGTGTGTGTGTGTGTGTGTGTGTGTGTGTGTGTGTGTGTGTGTGTGTGTGTGTGTGTGTGTGTGTGTGTGTGTGTGTGTGTGTGTGTGTGTGTGTGTGTGTGTGTGTGTGTGTGTGTGTGTGTGTGTGTGTGTGTGTGTGTGTGTGTGTGTGCGTGTGTGTCCGCTCGATTGGGGGCGGTGGCCTGGCGAACTCGTCATTTCCCAAACCGAAAAGGTGATCACCAGCTGCAGGTGCCCATGGCGAAGAGCCAGCGCCTGCAGAGCCATCCGCCGCTCTCTCTCAAGGGCTCGGCGGACTCCGCGAGCGACGCATCCTGCCGCTGTTGCGGAAGATTTTTCCTCTGAGGTGGGTGGAGCCGCGAAGGAGGGTGGTTCGGGCCGCTGCGGCGGCTAGTAGGAGGACGAGGAGGAGGAGGAGGGAGGGCGGGACGAGGAGGCGGGGCGGGGAGGGGAGGGGGGGCAGGGGAGGCGGGGCGCAGGGGAGAGCGGGAGAGGGGGGAGAGGGAGGAAGGAGGGCGGGACGGGGCGGATGGGGAGTCCATTGATCTTCCTCCTGCTCCCTTATCCTGATACCGCTTTCTATTCACGGTCCATGCCCCTCCTCATCCTCCTCCTGCTCCGCCTCACGGGGAAGCCATGCCGATCCTTCCTCATGATACCTCCTCCAGCTCCATCCTCCTACTCCTCCTCATCCATATCCCCATCATTATCCGTCTCCTCCTCATCACCCGTACCTGTCCTCCTATTCCTCCTCCTCCTCATCATCGTCATCATCATCATCATCAACATCCTCATCATCATCAGCAGCAGCATCAGCAACATCATCATCATCATCATCATCAGCAGCAGCAGCATCATCACCATCACCGTCATCATCAGCATCATCAGCATCAGCAGCACCAGTATCAGCAGCAGCAGTATCATCATCATCATCATCATCATCATCATCAGCATCATCATCAGCAGCATCATCATCAGCATCGTGATCATCATCGTCAGCATCATCAGCAGCATCAGCAGCATCATCCTCATCATCCTCATCATCATCGTAGTCCTCCCCTCCAGTTCTTTTGAACAGTGGATGATCCTCCTCCTCTTCCTCCTCAGCCTACTTCCCGAGATGATCGAAGGGGACGGGGCGGAAAAACGAAAGCAATGCCAACCCGCAGAGGGCACTCGCTTGCGCGAGCACTACTCACGAGCCCAGAACTCGGAGTGCAGGCCACACCTGCGGGCGGATGCGCGGCGGGGGAGGGGTCGGCACCATCAGGAGGTCCGTGGAGCCCGCTGGGAAATGAAGGATAGAGCCTCCTCTGCCCCTTAGAGGTGGGTCAGGGGGTTGGGCAAACGCAGCTCATAAGGCTATAATGGTAACGTTTCGGGGCGAGTTGGCTGCGCGACCACTGCTACCAGACGGACATCTAACCACCACATCATTACTTACACCTACCTGTTGGCGTATAGAGATTACTACGCTTACAAGTCTACGCACGAATAAACTTAGCCTTACGCGCGAACCTACACATACACCCTACACAAAGACGTACAAGAGCACGTCCAACGTAAATGTGCACTTGCAACCACGCGGAAATATACACTTGCGCTTGTGGCCGTACGTGCAGCCACACGCACACTTACACTTGCGCACGGTACGCTTACACTTCCACGCACACATACGTACGCAGATACATTATGATACACGCACAGGTCACACGTACACTTACACCTACACGTGCACGTACACGTAATGCGGGATGACGATTAATAAAAAATGGAGGGGAACAATTAAAAAAATAGTTTCCTGCTATTTCCGCATAATTTTCTGACTGGAGGAGAACGATTAAAAAGAATAGTGTTCCAGCCTGCGGCTGTTTTTTTCTAATCGTCATCCCAGGCGCCGCCGCGTGAACACGACCCCCGGTCATTTATTAATCGTCATCCTCCATTACCATGAGGCCTGCCCCTTGCTCATATACACTCGCACGTGCGCTGGCACCTGCGCTTGCACTTGCACAAGGACGCAACGACTCCCCGGCACCACCAGCGCGCTCGCACGCTGGCAAGTAGGCACAGTCTTCCCTGCTGTCGCCGTCCTCCTCCTCCTCCTCCAGCTCCTCCTCCTCCTCCTCCGCAACCCCCACCGTCTATCCCATGGCGGGTTCCCGAAATCCTGAACCCCCAAAAGCGTTGTCATCCCATGGGGGGCAACTTTTTGCCTCCACCGGCCTTCCGCCGGCGAAGGCGGCCTCGTGTCACTTCCGCCGCCTTCCGCCGGCCTTCCGCCCGCCCCACGTCGAGGAGGAGAGGCTAACTCCGTCGACTCGTCGAAGGCTTGGCCCTCTCTGGAGCGCACCGCGTGCTCGCCACTGCCTCGTCACTCTCGGAGTGGCCGCGGGAGAGTCGGAGCGCCCCTCATACGGGGCCACGCAGCGGAGGCCAGCGGGCAGCGGGGCTGCGCGGCCTGCCCACCAGCCACGGCCGGAGACGGCAACGAGGATGCGATTCGAGGATGCCACGACCCCCTCCCGATGTAGAGGGACGCGGAAGACGATGATGACAATGTCGGTGGTGATGATGCTGAGAGGAGGAAGAAGAAGAAGAAGAAGAAGAAGAAGAAGAAGAAGAAGAAGAGGAGAGGGAGAAACGGGAGGAGTAGGACGAGGAGGAGGAGGAGGAGGAGGAGGAAGGGGAGAACGAGGAGGAGGAGAAGGAGGAGGAGGAGAAGCAGGAGAGGGAGTAGGAGAAGGAACAGCACCTGAAGGAGAAGAGGGCTGATGAAAAGGGGCAGGCGTCGCCGAAGAGGGGCGATGCATGCAGGCCCGTATCCACATCGGCCTTCCTCGCCTAGAGAATGCTCCCCAAGTAGGCTTGCCTGAATACTTCTGACTTGTACTGTGAGGAGAAGCGCTGCCTGGTGTACCCCTGCAGGCCCGCTTCCGCGCGACCGAGGAGCCAGCCTCTCGCGCAGATGTTTGTTGTGCTGTGATGTGCTGGGCTTTGCTGTGGTGTGGTGCGCTGTGCTGCGCAGTGCAGTGCTGTGGTGTGATGCGCAGCGCAATGCTATGAGATGCAGTTTATGCTGTGCCGTGCTATGCCATGCCTGGCTGCACAAAGGCATGCTACGTGATGCTGCGATGTGCTAAGGTGCGCAGTGATGTACACAGATACGTTATGACATGCTATGCGATGCGATGCTGTGTCATGCTAAGGTACGCAATGTTGTGGCATGCTATGCGATACTATGCTTTGGCATTGCATGGTCCATACTGTCCATAAATATGCCATGCCATGCGTGCATGGCTATGTTGTACAATGCGTTGCGTTGCATGGCGCACCGTTGCGCTAAAGCGCAGCATATTGTTTATGTGTTCAACTATGTCCCTGAGTTGGAAGCGCTGAGGTCACGTGCGCCTCCAAAGCTCATGTTGTGCGGTCTCAGCGAACACTGCTGAACCCAGAATGGGTGACAGCTTGTCTAGCTTCCCCACGGTCATGCCGCGTAAACGAACAGTCGGCGATGTAGGCGGTTACGATGGGCAAGCTTGCATGAGCAAGCAAGAGCGTGCGACCCGGCAACACCAGAGAGAGAGAGAGAGAGCACAGTCCAGCTCTCGCCTTCCCCTGACCTCGCCCAGTGGCGCCCTCGTGAGGGGGAGGAGGAGGAGGAGGAGGAGGAGGAGGAGGAGCAGGAGGAGGAGGAGGAGGAGGAGGGGTCACCCGAGTTCCCAACTTGGGAGCCAAATCGACCATCCGTGGCAACACGTGGACCGAGCCGCTCTCGGAGTCCGTGGTGGGTGGCGAGGCACCAACGCAGAGGGCACAGGCTGGCTTGGGCTGTATGAAGAGCTTGTTAATAAAAAACAAAGGAAAAAAACAAACAGAGAACAAAGAAAACGCTGCGCGACGCGTGGCTTCACCACTGCAACACGTAGGCGTCGAAGCCCCTTGCCGAGCGTCTTTGGACAACGGCAGGCCGCGTTGGAGCAGGTCCAGCGGGCACCAGGCTTCAACCAAGAGCAAGCACATTCGCAGTCAGCGTGAATGCCACTGGCGTGCTCCTGTGAGCCAGGGAAGCTTGCGCAACCCACACTGCGCACCTCCCTCGGCAAGAAGTCCAACAAGCGGCGGTCCTCCACGGATGGTGGTATCGTGAGGGCTGGCTCCCCGAGTCCCAAAGTGCAGCCGCTGGCGGTCTGCTGGCCCGCCAACGCAGCGCCGCTCCAAAGACCAGCGCTGATAGCGCCCCCTTCCTGCTCCGAGCCGGGAGCGGCCGAGGGTGAGACAGGGGAGGGAGCAGGGGAGGTGGAGGAGCAGGACGAGGCAGGGGAGCAGCGGGAAGAGCCGCAGCATCAGAATTGGGAAGACGATGGAGACTAGGAGTTCGGTGAGTTCGGTGAGCCAGCGCACGCACGTGCTGCCGACTAGCAAGTCGGTGGAAGGAGGGCGGGGGAGGACGGGGGCGGCGCGCCTGGCGTTGTAGATGACGCAGGCCGCCGTCGCGGGGCGGCGGCGGGGCGGCGGCGCGGGGGGCAGGCCGAGGGGCCGACTGGGCTCTCACAGCCTGGGCCTGGATCTCGGCGACCACAAGCGAGGAGGGGGGCCTACGTACGAATGATAAAAGGCCCTTCGCAAGGCGGCTCGAGTTCTCTCTCCCTTTGCGGGAGGGGAGGGGCACACGGGTTGGCCAGGTTGCGTCCGTCAACCGCAGCCGTGATCCCACAAACAGCACAAAACTTGAGACCGTATCGGGACCACTCCCTCAGGGCATGGGAAGGATGCAAAGCCACGCATCCAACCTTGGACGCCCCACTCACCGCCAGGAAACCGTCTCCGAGGAAGCGTTCGCTGAGGGCCGCTGGGCAAATCGTGGCCGCGAATTCCATGAGCTTAATCCGAGGCACTATCTGCGAGCACCCAGAGCACATCCAACGATTGCTGCACCGCGACAGGCGATGCGACGAGGAGCCCAAGGCGCTAGCAAGCTTGGACTTGAACTGGGTCCTGGGCCTGGACGCTCTGGGACCGAATTCAGGAGCAACCGCAACACTATCAATCAGAGCGCGCCGAGCTCTTCTGCGCACAAGCAAGGGAGTGGCACCCCAACGATCCGTGAACGGAATCGGGTGTCTGACCGACGTTTCCCAACCCCTCCTCGCCGCCCACCCCGCCCAGACATCAGCACATGCATTGCCGTGAGAGAGGAAGGCTTGAAAAAGGGGAGGTGGTACGCTCGGGCTCAGCTTCCAGGTGGGAAGCAGTCCGGAAAAAATCCACTGACCCAGGGCCGCGATTGTTGGCTGCCTGCAGCACCCTAACCCAGAGATCAGCATTGCGGCCATAGGGCCGTGCAGCGCGGCCAGACCTCCAGCCTTCAACCACGGGCTTGCAATCGCAAACGTAAACGATATCCCCAGACGAATTCTCGAGGCCCAAGGCCAGCGCCAGGAGCTCTGATCGGGGCACAGTCTGACGTCGCCCTGAGAGGCAGGCAGCCGCACCGCAGACGGGGAGCCACATAGCGCCAGAGGGATCCCCGTCCAAAGCACGACGCATGACTACCACCGCTGCTCCGCAGCGTCTCCGACGGTCGTCTGAGCTGTGCTCACCCCCTGACCAATCCCCATACAGGTAGAAGGGGGGGTGCCCCGCAGGGGCCGAGAGCTCCTTCAGCAAGCACTGGCCGAGGAAAATGGGGCCAGAGAAACCAAGTCCCTCCTGAAATCGAGGAACAGTGAGACTCGTCGAGGGCACTCCCCTCGGCCACAAGGAAGGGTCAAGGTCAGCGTTCGCCAACGCCTGAGGGATGAGTGCGTCCGTGGACGTGTAATCAGAATGGGAGCAATGTTTCGAACACTCCCAGATGCGGTGGCGCAGCGTCTCAGGGGCAGCTCTGCACCGAGGGCAACGACGATCGACTTGGTACCCAGCATCGCGCTGCCTCTGCTGCGTCCACTGGCCACCTGCTGCGACCGAGACCGTCGCACCCCACAAGCCCATGTCGCCCTTCCTGGCGAAGGCCTCCAATTCACGCTGTATCCCATGCAAGTCGGCTCCGTCATCGAGCTGTTCACCATCAGGATGCTTGGCGGCCAAACGCCAGGCAGCAGCACTGCAGTCATGTTCAAAGTCCACCAAGAGCTCACTGAAATTATCCAAGACAGTGTCGCTGTAGCCATCATCGCCGAAGGAGAGGAACGCGTAGTCCTCTGGCCCATCAGCACCTGAGCG